TTTATGGGGAACTGGCTAAAGGATCACATGACTTTACATATTGATTGCTATTGCCACATCATCAGCTTTTCACATCATGCCCAAGTTGGCTTTCAAGCCAGAAAAAGCCATTCATAGTAATATCTACTGTTCTGTCTCAATACATTGTTAACTTACATCATGACCTGACTTAAGGATACTTCCAGGGACCAATCAGCTCATCCTATTGCCCTGAAAGAGCTGATATCACAGTTGACTAGGTTTGGGACAGGCAAGTAGCTATCAATGTGAAAGCAGACAGACCAGCAACTATCAATGTGAAATCAGAGAATAGCCTGTCCTGATGTGAAAGGCAACTTGGGTATGATGTCAAAAACTAATCATTTGGTTTGGCAGTAGTAATATGTAAAGCAATTTAATCCTTCAAACCATATCCACATGGACCTAGAACCATGATTTGAGATAGGACAGTAGCTATCAATATGAAGGCATAGAATAGCCTTCTTGATGTCAAAGACAATTTGTACATGATGTCAAAAGTAAATGCTGCAGCAATGGCAATATGTAAAATCATGTCAATCCTTTAACCTCATCCCCATAACCTATACAGAGTCAAGGACACTATAAACTATATGTCAACTACAAACTTTTGTAGCCTCAAAAAGCAGACACTACAAACTTTTCTAATGAAAAAGCGGACACTACAAACTTTTGTAGTCTGAAAAGCGGACACTACAAACTTTTCTAATGAAAAGGCACACACTACAAACTTTTGTAGTCTAAAAAAGTGGACACTATAAACTTTTCTAATGAAAAAGCGGACACTACAAAACCTTTTAATGTAACCCTAATTTTGTAGTCTAAGTCCAAGCTTTTGTAGTCTAAGTCTGACTTTTGTAGTCTTTTGTAGTCTATCAGTAAACTTTGTAGCCTATGTCCAACTTTTTTGTAGTCTATCAGTAAACTTGGTAGTCTATATCTGACTCTTGTAGTCTGTCAGTGTTGATTGCTCTTTTAGGGAATGCACCTTCCTTTTTTGGTCAATTTTCCCACAATATGATATTTGTTGCCCTTTCATCTAGCTTTCTAAATGTGTTGGAATCATGTTATTTGGTTTTGTTTTCATGAAGAAAAATGCAAAAAACCAAAAAAAAAACACAACGCTTTTGGAATTCCTTTACCTCATATCTCCACAACAGGAGCACTTCAGAACATAATTCAACCAGATTCGGGAAGCTACAGTGCAGGGGTACAACTTTCGCTTTTTGACTATTTTTGGTAATTGGTCATGTGACCACCCTCCCAACAACCCATGTGATACATATCATCATTATTATATAGTTTTCAGTAATGAAAGTGCCAAAGGGCCTAATGAAATATCCTAATGAAAAATCTAAGAAATAGTAATGAAAGTGCCAGGGAGCCTAATGAGAAGTGATGAAATCGTCAAGGTGCTCAATGAAATATCCTGAAAGAAATGGTAATGAAAGGGCCAGATGCCTCAATGAAATCTCCCAATGAAAAATCTAATGAAATGGTCAAGGAGTGTAATGAAATATCCTAATGAAAGCGCCAAGAAGCATTCTAATGAAAATTCAATGAAATGGTAATGAAAGGGTCAAGGAGCTGAATGAAATATCCCGATGAAAATTCCAAGAAAATCTAATGAAAGTGCCAAGGAGCCTAATGAAATATCCTAATGAGAAATATAAAAAATGGTAATGAAAAAGCGCAGGAGCCTAATGAAATATCCTAATGAAAATTCTAAGAAATGGTAATGAAAAAGCAAAGGAGCCTAATGAAATATCCTAATGAAAATTCTATGAAATGGTAATGAAAAAGCACAGGAGCCTAATGAAATATCCTAATGAAAATTCTAAGAAATGATAATGAAAAAGCGCAGAAGCCTAATGAAATATCCTAATGAAAATTCTATGAAATGGTAATGAAAAAGCGAAGGAGCCTAATGAAATATCCTAATGAAAATTCTATGAAATGGTAATGAAAAAGCGCAGGAGCCTAATGAAATATCCTAATGAAAATTCTCAGAAATGATAATGAAAGGGCCAAAGAGCCTAATGAAATATCCCCATGATATCTCATTATCCTTGTCTATAACTTATGAAAGATTCCAGTGATAAATTGAATGAAATAGATGGGCAATCCTAATGAGATGCCTTTCATAAAACCTGTGGCATTATACACAATGGCTCTTGGACAGTTGTCATAGATTAATCATAAAAGTGGTAGCCACCAGTCTCTAATCGTAAGTCTGTCTCAACGTTATTCAGCCCTCCCACAAAGCCCTTCGTAGATAGTACGGATACTCCTATAGCTGACATCCCTTCTGGACGAGACCTTGCTTTGGGTATCTTAAACGGCTTCTCCTTCGCTGGTGGAGCTGAAAGGGGATCCTTCTCCCATGGGGGATCTTTCACCTCTCTTGGAGGGTCCTTCACCTCTCTCGGTGGATCTTTATCGGATTCCGGCTTTTGAGAAGATGGGGCATCCTCTGTACACGCCGAGAAGGCTTCCTTCTGGGGAGATTCATCGTCTTCGTCGCCAACTTGATAAAGGAGGTGAGAGCTAGACTTCTCTTTCTGTCGATATTCTGCCCAGAATTCGTCTTCTTCCTCTTCCATAAAAACTGCTTGTCTCTTCCAAGGGGTGTTGTTGTCGGACTTACGTTCGCTGTGAAAGGAGTTAATCCTTTCTTGAGGAACTGCCTTATGAAAATCCGAAGATTCGGACGATGACTTGGTCTCAGATGCCAACCGCTCAGTGACTAAAATCGAGTATACGCTCGCATAATAGCCCTCTAGTTCCTCCTCTTCATTCGTCTCAATCCGGTAAGCCGTTTTCTGTTGCTTCGCTTCATAGAAAGCCCAATCTGGGCACTCCTTATCCCAGTGATTAGGGCTCCCGCATACCTTACAAGGAGAAGGTGGCAAACGTCCCATCTTGGTGGTGACGTGGTCGTTTTTGCTATACGGATACCCTCCCTTCGGCGGTGGGCGTTGTCTTTTCTTCAACACTGCGAAAGCTTCTCTCATAATTTCCGGATCCAAAGTTATTTCTTGTAAACATCCCTCTCGGCTAAGCTGACTTAAAAGTGCTTCATGAATTACTTCCTCCCCCTTTTCATTAGTGGAGGTAACCATTTTAGCTGAACGATCAAAGGGACGGTTCCTATCTACCGATATGCCCAATTTGCGTAGCGTGTATAGCAAATTATCCGAGGTGAGCACATTTGTCGATTCATACTTCGCGGCATGCACTAATGCTAATTCGTGGTCCGTCGCTCTTGAATATAATAAAGACGTCGAACGGACCGTTTCTAGGTTCAGGATGGGTCCCCATGATATTGGGGCCTTTTGCATAACTAGATAAACTTCAGTCGGCCCCCCGTCATCCGATGCGACAAGCATCCGAGTGTACATGATACGACGGACGATGTAGGCTGGAGGAGACTCTCTCTCGAAACCTTCTTGGCGGAAGGACTGGCCTTCATATTTCCTATTCATGGTGATCTGCCATGTCCGTCCCAAATAATTGTCTTTGATGCCTTTAAGGTAGTGTAGATAGTGCGTTCTCATCTTGGATTGCTCAGAGAACGGTAGCGTCGTAAACCACATCCATATTCTAGAATTTTCTTTTAGGCTTTTCCACAACCAATATCCAAGCGCTACAGGGATGTCTCCTTCTAAAGCTGCTAGTTGCTGGATCTTCCAGAAGTATTCAATAGCAGTATCTTTATTGCCGTCCCACACAGGTAGTTGATCTTGTTTCAATTCATTTCTGATCATAGCAACCAGATTTCCATAAGGGATGTTCCCTTGTTGTTGAGCGTTCGGACTGGAACTATTCGTGTATGGGTCATGCCCTCCTCCTCCTCCTCCTGGATTTCCGCCGCCGCCTCCTCCATTCGGCCCATTGGAAGGAGGGTCGTTAGAGCCTCGATTGCCAGGATTGTTTCTTGGGGGATGTCCATCGTCGTCGCTCTCGTCATCTGATCCATCCGAGTCTCCTCCGGGATGACCGCTACGGCGTCGCTCTCTTCGGTTATTCGTCGACCTCGAATGGTCTCTGGAGGAATT